TCATCCAAATAGGGTTTCGATTTTCTTTTTGGCAATTAGTGTCATGAAACTCAATTTCTACTCATCAGTTTACAAAAATGTTGATAACGACTGTTTCAGTATTTTTGAAGACTAAATAACTTCATTTGGAGCCGTGGTCTGGGGATAGTCTTTGAACTGCCACAACTGTACTGTTCAGTTAATAATCACTTTCAACGGCTTGTTTCATTTGCAACGATCTCAGCATTCAAAACAAACAGTCACAATTATGTGCCATGTTTATTAATCACTTCGTTGAGTGTTCAGGTATATAAAAATGATAGTGAAAGATTCAGAATCACCGTATAAAGCTGTATTCAGTTGGCAACTAGGTCATAAGATTGCTATAACCTACTGTCTTCAAATAGAGAAACAAGGAGATATTGAAAGGTCAACAGTCAAAATGCTTAATAGGCGTATGAATCTCCTGGGAATACATTTTAGGGTATAAACGCAATCGCTTTCATTCAGAAAGAATCCTATCGATGAGAATTTCACCAAGGAACTACGAATTTCTCGAATAGATCAATACCGTAACGCAAGACAATAAAATCAGTTGAAATATGCTTATATTTACAACAACGTAGCCTCTCCTGCCGAGTGTAGTCTGAGGTCACAAGATTGAATAGGTCAACAACCACATAGTCATGTCATTCCCTTCTCAGTACTAAAAGTGACTAATATGTGAAACAGTTTATAATAGAAGTACTGACACTTCATTGATTACGAACATTGATTTAAAATGTGTTACTTGTGTTAGCATCTTATCTTTGACTCTTGTTTTGTTGTATGTAAGAGCGGTTACTTACGTCCATTTGCGTCCACGACAGTGTTGACACTGATTGTCAATGGATAAGCGCATTCTTATAAATCGAAAATGGCAAAGACATAATCTTGAAACGGCAGCTTTTAATAAAGTTGCATGTTATTTTGAATACGTAAAACTGAAATATAAAATCCTACATATATTGGTAGCCTACAATTACCTTTCTACGCAACACCTCAAACTTTAGGTTTCCTCATTTAGGCAAAAGAATGATAGTCTTTGTCCTAGATTACCATTATTTTCAACTTTCGAAGCCATTTAGCATCGTTACTACATATACTCATTAACTTGAGTTTTTAGTTGGCATCAGTTAGCTTTTTATTCTTAATAATAATTTCCGAAAATAGATAGATGTCAGATTAATTGGAGTAAAAAATGATGCTCACTACTTCAGATGGCTTCACATGCTATCAGAAAAACAACATTTTAGACAATAAAAAGAAACGAAACGTGCTTACAGTTATTTTTTATGGAACACTATATATTATTCATGTTATTAGGTGGATATATATAGCTTCGGTTACTTTTCTACCAACATGGACCTATATTAGTTTGCATATCTTTCTTTACTTTCACTATGTCCATAAGTATATGTACTTAGTTGCTTGATTTGTTCATGTAGTCATTATGCACACATTACGAAAGTCATGTGAATAGTTATCAAACACCTAGTCAACATAAAGTGTATTCTCAAAAGTATTTCGCTCTTATTGTAGTTACCAATCTGTTTCAACTATTATTCACTATCCGATGAAGTGGAAAATATAGGTGATAGGAAGAAGCTAAATGGAAACCGACATTTTAAGTAAGCAGCTGTTAATGTATAAGTTTTGTTTTTCACTATGTATTTCTGTCACTGTGTAGTCAAGAAAAACCTTAATGGTTGATTTATTATACAGCTGACCAGTCGAAATAAGTATTTCTCTTTTGACCTGGTGATTTTATTTGTTCATGAAGTGTTTTTTGATGATGTATTTCTGTCGAATAAAGCGTCTTCCTTACAGTTAAATGTCGGTCTTTGACTTCTGACTTCCCCTGCTCAATGAAGTACAGGGTTCTGAGGGAGAACAGTCACTTTTCGTATTCACTCCAAGTGCCTCGTCACATGAATATCTTTCCCGTATTTCTTATTATTCACTCGGTCACTGCAATAGATGAAAAGGTTCAAAGTATGTAGACGAAAAAGCATCAGTGAACATCAAAATAAGCCGATGTTTAGCTGGAATAATTTATTGTTTGTTGTTTAGTGCAAGTACGGCAAGTAATGCATATGAAATCACAGTGTTGCTAACTAGGATGACTTAAAACACTCTCAAGTTACTTGATCATTATATTATTATTATTTGTCTCTTGGGTTCCTATTTGAACATTGGGCTTCAGTACCACGTCTCCAGTGCACTCTGTTCTCTGAAATCTTTTCAATCCGGTTCCACGATAGCCCAGAAGCTCTCATTTCTTCCTCGCACGATCTCCTCCATGTCACCCTCACCTCGGACGCCCAACTCGTCGTTTCCCTTTTAGATTCCATTCAAGGGCCTGTAGCGTGATGTCTCCAAATGGTCTTCTCAGTGCATGCCCAATCAACCTCCACTTCCTTCTACATATTTGTTGGGTGATAGCTTCTTGATTGGTTCGTTTCCAGAGTTCCTTGTTGCTTATTCTTTCTGCCAGTCCATCTGATCTTCAGTAGAGAGCGTAGGCAGCCGTTAATGAATGTCTGTAGTTTGTTGGAAATCTCTTTTGTAACGCGCCAAGTCTCTGAGCCATACAGAAGCACTGACTTGGCGTTGGTGTTGAAAATCCGCATCTTGTTCTTTATGCTGAGTGAAGATCTCCACACTGATTTCAGGTTAATGAACGCCTGTCTTGCTTTTCCGATCCTGGCTTTGTTTTTCTCGTCTGTGCCGCCTGTAGTTGAAACGGTGCTGCCTATATATGTGAAAGAGGCTACTTCCTTTAAGTTTCTTCCGTTGATGGTGATTGGGGCTTGTTGTCCAGCTATTGTATCCCCCTCTTTTCCTTCTTCACTGTTTGTTCCATGATCCAGTCGACCACAATCAAGAATATCATAGGTGATAGTAGACGGCCTTGTCTTCACTTCACTTCAAAGGCATCACTGAACTTCCCATTGTAGATTGCCTGGCGTGAGGCGTCTTCATATAGTTGTTGAATGAGGTTGATAAAGGTTTGTGGTATTCTGTAGTGTTGAAGCAGTTTTCAAATTACTTCTCAGTCGACGCTGTCAAAGGCCTTCTCAAAGTCGATGAAGTTGAGGTGGAGGGTCGACTGCCATTCTATGCTGTGTTCTATGATGATGTGTAGCGTTGCAATTTGATCAACACATGGTTTGTACTTCCTGAAGCCTGCCTGCACCGGTCGCAGTTTTGAATCCAGCGCATCATTTAGTCTGTCCAGGATGATGCGGCTTAATATTTTCCTTCAGATGGATAGGAATGGGGCATGATCCCGCGCCAGTTCTTGCAAACAGTGTGGTCTCCCTTCTTCGGCAGTTTGACAATGTAACCCTTCTTCCAATCAACCGGCAGGTACCTTCCCTTCCTTCCGGACCTTCTCCAATAGTGGTGTGAGCATATCCGCTGTTGTCTCTGTGTCTGTTCTCAGTGCTTCTGGTAGGAATCCATCTGGTGCTGCTGCTTTCCCACATTTCAGTAGCCTTATGGCATTCAGAACTTTGACTTTCGTCGGAGGGCTTTTGTTCAGTGGTAGTTCTGTGGCTGCTAGTGAACTAGTTAACCAGGCGAGGTTACCTGAACAACCACTGTATAAATATTCCACCAACTGATCAGTGACTGTCATACTGTCGAAACAAGAGAGGATAGTATACTGTTATTATGAGGAATTCACTGATGACTTGATATCATGTATTAGAACTGAAAACCAAAAAATATAAATCCATGATGCAAGAGTTTGACTTTCTGCTTCGCCTACACCGAAAGGTCATCCACTGAAATTAACACAAAATGGACTATTAACAACTCAATCTTCATGTTCCGCTGAACAACAGAATACAGATTGACAACTTGCTACCGATTTATTGTGTGATCCCAGCCGTACATGCAAATATATGTCCACGATGCACTATTACGTAAAACTGAAATAACTAACTTCATACATAGAATTTGGGATCATGTGTAATAACTGATTTAACTCAGCACATAGTTCCATCTCAACCATGAATCGTGCGCAAACCAGTCATGAGTTTAAAAGAAAGCTCTTCAAGTGAGCTATACAACAGTACTATAAAATAAATCTTAAGTAAAATATCTTTTCGAATACATGTAATACGACCGATAACGCATGCCAGAAATTTTTTGTTTTCTTTCTTTGATCTATCGTAACATTATGCAGTTGTAGAAGTGTAAAAGATACCAAAAAGATTTTTTCTGGTAAAGTGAATATTCAGTTAGTTTCTTCGTAGTAATTGAAGGCATAGAGAATAGAAGTGAACTTACTGTGTTTAGTTTTCTGATTGGGCTACATTTCTTATATATTTCATGCTTTCTTGGTAAAAGGTGGTGAACGTTGATGAGTAGAAATCGTAGTTTGCGAATAAGCGTTTACTATGATTCTAGAACCCAGTCTGCATAAAATTTCACCACTCATTTGTTGAAAGGTGGTGCTGCTGTAAATCTACCAAAGATGTGATTTAGAACGACAGTATAAAATTGGGCATGGTTAGAGACAAAGACATTTCTAACATCTAAATAAACCTAAATTTTCACATTTGTGGCCTAAATTGATTCCGATGTTGTTCCGAATATTGAAAGAAACGGTCAGTCAGCTATAAACATCAGGACATAACAAAGTTATTCTTCATTCAAACTCATGTACGCATATCTGCAGTAAGTTTGATTGGTACTCACCATAGCGTAGTAAAAACTCCTAGATTTCAATCGAGGTTTAAATATTGTCCAAATCGATATGATGTTTGTTCGCGATAGCAGTAAATAGAATGGGCATAGCATATGGTTATAATATTTCAAATTCATTCTAATTAGTCTCATAACCAAGTCCCAGTCTAACTGTTTCATGGGCACAGTTTTCATAAAAATGGCATGATTATTGATATACACGTGTGCAAGTATTATACTCAGATCTCTAAGCTACTCAAAATATCAATGAAAAGCAATACTCTCAACGAAAAATAATTTTTTCGAAATTCTCATCAGGTTCTACAATTATAAAATGCACTTGTACAGCGTAAGTTTAACCCAAGTTAGGGGCAAATGCATTTTCAAAGTGGAGTGAGATATAACGACAATAAAGAAATCGATTTAGCTTTTCAAATTTGTCAGTATTAGAACAATACAAATGTACAGATAATTAATGTGATGGTAAACGAAAAGACAATGAATAAAGAAGACAGGAGTGACCGTAACTTTACTGAAGCCATGAGGAGGGATAAGGAATGAACATGATCTTTCTGAATGCAAAGTTTAGATTTGATCAGTCTCATTTCAATAGCATTAACTATGCTGAACAGCTGTTGGTGAGCTACGTGTTGAGTCCAGCAAAGATTGTTTTCAGAAGAATCATGGTCCGAAGATTTACTGGGGTCCCTAGGAAGAACCAGAATTTCAACCAGTATGAAATCTTTAAAAGGATATACGCTTAATCCTCTTAGATAAATGCAGTCACACATAACCAAGATGGAATTAAATATATCGCAAAGCAGTTATGCGTCTCGTCGGCACGAAGCTAAGAAAGTGTACCTACTGTACCTTAGATGTCGGTTTTCTGTATACACTTCTCAGCATACAGCCATTTTCGTTTCTTGTCATTAGCTTCTCAAGAATACGCATCGGATAGATGATTTCATTTTCATAAGTAAAATGTAGTGATGGATGAGCCCTGTTGATGTGATTCAGAATAGAAAGAACTAGTTGTGGAGACAGCTTGATTTTGCTCTTTATCAGATGTTGAATATATCTAGGCATGGTGAGCTTTGATGATCAGACACCAAGTTTTCTCCTATTTGTGGGTTGAAACAATGTAGAAGAACTGGTTTTAAGAACCTATGGGCAATGACTGACTAATCCATTTGGTTGTGGATACATTCCAACTGTTTGGGATAGAATAGAACCGACAGCAAGTATCTATGGATAATAATACTTAGGCCTGTTTTTACTAACAAGAACTGGGTTCAAGTGAATTCATCTGTAGAGTCTGGGTGTGTATCCTATATTCCATATTATTATTTTATCGATACGATAACTTTGTATCTCAATTGTATTTACGAAATTGTCTGTTTTTCTTCCACTTTTATGTGTATATTTTACATAGCGCATACATCGCTATCTAGCTGGATACTTTCTGAATACAATTCACTTGCTACAATTACTAGTACCATTTCCTAATCATTGTATAGTAGATAATACTTCATCTGTATATGCTAATCAAGCAAGAAAACGAAATGAATATATACTTTGACGCAATGCTGAAGTTAATTTCGATGATAACTTGATACTTGCAATCTACCATCACCAAACTGAGTCAAATTGTTCGATCTTCGTTGACATATGGGCTTCTATGCATATGCCTCCAGATTTCACAGCAAGCAACCAAGCAGAATACGAAATAAAGAGTAATCCAGCAGTATTGAGGCACCCGCATAGGAGCACATCTGCCGACTGAAGTCAATTAGTTTCATCCAGTACAGCAACGGAATATCACAAGTATGGGACAGTAACTAATACCCACTGCACAAAGGTTGGCTCTTGTGCCCCAGTGGATAACACTTTGGCGTTTGAAACGAATGGTGCTAGGTTCAAGTCTCAGTAGGAACAACATCACTAACTTGGGAGCATGTGCATCGAGATAACGAGTCCCAACTAGGACGAAACACACGTCCCAGATTCTACTGCCAGCCACCAAACAGTCTTTTTTACCTAAGTGACTGTTCCATATAATTATCAGGAAAAGAATAGTGATTTTTCACCTCTTATTAATTACATTTTGGTGTACTGTAATTGAAATAGGGTTATGAGTTTAGTAGCTGGGGTCAGCACTTTCAGTACTTTAACTTTTTTGTTCAATGACCTAATGGTTGACACGCCGTGATTCAATTTGACATCATTTCTAAGAGAAACTATTGATGGCTTCAGCTTTAGATCTTTCCATGTTTATTTGCAATTCTTTACGTCCCAACTACGCAGATGATTGTAGACTTATGCAAACATAAAGAAAACAATATCGTTACTTGTCAATTACACTGCTAAAGTTATTAGAAATAAGTTGCACAAAGAATAAATAGATAAATAAATATAACACTGGTTCATTTAAAGTAATCTAAATGCACAGTGAGCATAACAGGAAAATAGTTCTTATTTTATGATAATTTGATATTTTGATCATCTATTCTGAACTTCTTAATTTTATGATTTTTTTTGCTATTAACTCACTATCCACATGACCCATTTTTCACTGCTTCTCAGCATTTTAGAAAGACTGTCACAAACCAATCAAAATGAAGAGATACAGGAAAAAAAGAATCAATCAACGGTAAGATTAGTGAGTGGATATATTAGGAAGTGTTTACACTCTTCGTGTATGAAGTACGTGTTTGTATGTAAATACATATGATTGGCTAACATTAAAGTGTACACATATGTGTCTACGTAACACAGCACGATATCTACAAAGTACATATGAGTATGAGAACAAAAATTTTACGAAATTATGACAATAGAAATAGCTTCCTCCGAGTTAATTAATATGAATATGAATACATATAAATAAAGATATCTTTTGCCCATTGGTCGAGTTATGTAATCCAAATAAGTGAACAAATAAAAATACGAATTGCAGACAAGAAGGGACATGAAAGTTAAAATGAAAGATTTCATGATATAATAATCTGGAAAATAAGGACAAGAAATATTGGAATGACTCAATGAACGTATAAGAAACATAATCAATTCTGATCACCTTCGAAATAATTAGTGACATAAGAAGTTATTGTAAGAAATCAGTACATCTTGTCAGATAAAGTATTGATTGAGAAGAAAGTGTAGACACTACTAACTTCAGTATTGAAGAAAGAAAATCACTTGATACTGATGTGTTTTGCTGAGTATTCTTTTATAGCTTTACAAAATATGTCGGTAAATAATACTTATTGTAATCAGATGCTGATAAGATGAAAAGTGGGAAGTTTCAGACAATACTATATGGATATTCGCTTCTCTTGTATTTATATTATTATTTATTCATCATTAGCGTGATCTGATCTAGTGTCATGTTCTAAGCATCTTCTTTAGATGAATGACCATATTTCAAGTGTAGTAATAACAAAGTCAGGAGATGAAGTTAGCTGTGGGTTATCAAATGTTTCACAGCTGTCACTACGTCCATGCAACAATACATCGTCAATGTATATGGCAGAATGACCTCTGTAATTAAAAAAAAGTGTAAGATAAGCTGCTGAATATATATTCAAAAGAAGGAATGTAATAGAGTCACCACATAATAGTTAGTGTATCAGACCGTAGGCCACGCCAATTATGCTAAGGTCAAAAAAATTACCTGACTTTAAAGTATTAAGTACTTAGAATAGAGTTCAAGCCCATTTTTCACTGACTAAGAAATCCACTCAAATATGGGAATACTCAGAGAAGTATTTGGATACAGTGTGGTTCAATGCAATATCGCCTAATACGGTACTAATACTCTAAAAATGTCAAAATGTTTGGTGCATCTACGCTTTTTCCGAATTGTGCAGTTCTGGGTAGCACAGTTACAAAAAGGAACGCTCTATGACCTCATTTACTTGTGTAAATGGGATCATACAGCTGAAATTGATAAAATTTCTATATCTAGAAACAATTTGTCCATTTGCAAATTCTTTCCTGTTCTGCACTCAGTTCTTATGTTTTGTATCGTCATCCAATATTGTATGTTCCTTTTGACTAGTTCCTCATCCATCCATCGATATCACTTTCCACGTCGTTATGTATACTACTTATATGCACTCTTATAAGTAGCTTTCATTGCACTAGGATTTTAACTTGAAATATAAAGTTTTATTTGAAGTGGTTGGAAATCAAACAGAAAGCTTTCAAAGAACACACTACTGACATTACTCAGAAGAGAATTCAAGAAAGCAAAAAAGAGACTAAGAAAGATTATCTGTTCAACTACTCAAGTGTTTTGTAATGTTTGCAAAATTCAACTATTTGCTTCAAAATCTAGTGTTCGAAATGAATAGTTGATGAAATCGACTCAAAAGTTCATTTTCAGAAGGGGATCAACAAGATGACAGGGATTTTAATAACCTCCAATCAATTTAGTTGAACTTATTTCTTCAGTAAATCAAAATGAGGCAGCTATTGACAACTGTTTAAAATTCACTGAAGTGAACTAATTAAACATAAAAATTCAATTATGACCCTCTCTTGCAATCTGTCTATTCTAAACAACTGCAAAATAGCATGTGGAGGTAGTTGAACTCCTGCAGAAGAAGCACATTTGAAATAGCATTGGTAATAAATGTCTACAATTTTTTTAGACGAACCAAAACTGTCGATTTGTTTGTCTATTACCAAATGTTTCCCTAATAGGAACAGTCTGTTTCATGTAGATGTTTAGTGGCCAAAATGGAAATCAACATTCGAAGTTATTAAGAAATGAGGCTTTAGATTTTGATATGTACTGCTGTAAGGTAAAGATAATAATAGCTTATATATATATATATATATATATATATATATATATATATATATATATATATATATATAAACGGAGAGAATGGCCTTATATGAAAGACTCTGGTTGCTTCGTGAATGAAAGGATATCAGGTAATCCAGTAAATACTTGACAAATGATCAGCGTGATAAACTTTATGCATGTCATGTGATAGAAATGTTTTTATCAACCAACAGAAGAAAGTCGTTCGGTTTTGGACTGTTTGAATGTAAATACACAGCCTAACCAATCATATTCCCACTCAATTATTTTTCTTCGTTACTATGGTCCCTTGCTGACTTACAGGAATACTATTATCGAATTCTTTGTTTTGCTACTTCTTCAAGTTATTATTTTCGAAAAAAAGTATAGTATAGTAGTCGTTGAAACATAGGGTAAAGGAGAAATTAGTCTATTTTTGGAAATTGAATAAATAGATATGGTCAAATATAAATAAAAACTCAGAAAATTGTTTACTCTGATAACTAATCTATTCTGAATGACAGTGAGCACGTGCCTGTCCACATGAACGCGCATACTTAAAAAATAATAGACAAATAACTAAGATTATGAGTAGTAAAGATAGAATAACTTACTTAGAGCATCCTATAGTGAGTGAATCGTACCCCCCATTAATGAAATAGGAATTTTTACCGCTCCAAACAAATTTCTAAGGCAAACATAAAGAATAAGTAAAAGGATAAAATGAGGTATATATATATATACATATATATATATATATATACATATACATATATATATATATATATATATATATATATATATATATATATATAAGGGTTCCTTGATTGATAACCAAAGATTATCATGGACAGGCGAAATCAGCCGCATCACCGCAAAAGCTCATTTCAATAACATTTACTTCAAAATATGACGTAGGCTTTCCGTTAACCTGATGACATTTATGACAATTCACTCAGAAAAGTCTAAGTCCCTTGTTAATTATATATTTTTTTAAGCAACATGATGAACTGGTCTATTTAGGTTAATTTTACACACAAGAGTATCATTCACACGTTTATCTTTCAAAATAGAGGCAAAATTCTGACGAAGAGTTGGTCAAGTGTCTGCATGAGGCATCAACGTCAAACAATGTCAGTAGGATTAAAGACTTGTAAATTCATGAGTTTATTTGTATTCAGTGACAACACTAAGAGATATCCGTTGTCGTGATAAGTAATTTTTTTAATTACAAAAGTAAGAGTATTTCAAAGTGAACAAAATCTATTTTTGATCTTGGATTGATATCATTTACAGAACAAGTATTATAGCTGTTCTATCCTAACAAACAATAGCATCTATCGATGTTCTTTTGAGGAAATATACAAAGGACGACTGGGTTTCATTTGTCACTTGCATCCAGATAGTAACTTTGTACATGCATATTTTGCATCTATGAAGAGTAGAGTAGTACATAGCTACTTATCTGCTTCAAATATCTTAAACACACCGAGTTAGCATACCGATTTTTATAAACTGTGTTATTTAGGAAAAGACTGATTGAGCGAAGAAATATATTTCTTTTCAATTAGATCTTCATCTTGGGCTCTGCACTAATATATAGGTTTACAATTTAATCAAATTACCAATCACGTGCTGTTTCGGAAACAACGATGTAAATAATCATTAGAGTTACTAAAATAGGAAATATGAATATTGATAGAAACAAGAAGGGGAAGAGGTGCACAAAATAAGCCTAGAAGTTACATCATGTTGACGGCCATGGTAATGAAAGTGGTCGAACAAACTTCTTTTGGATACAAAAGCTAGGTTTGTAAAGGTGGATTGCAATCGCCTCTGCTATGTGAAGTAACCGAGTGCGTAATCCACAAGGCAAATTAATTGGAATCTGATGGATAATCTTGAAGGCTTTTCCAGTAACCACTTGATGTCCTGTGTCAACTAAGTGTGCAAGTATGGAGCTCTTTACAGTTCTAATTTGTCATTTGGTCAACCATGATGGGTGGTGCTCAGAAATTCGACGATGGAACTGCCTCATTGTACGCCCAGTGTAACTCGCTCCACAGGAGCAGTTGAATTGATAAATGCACATAGAAGTGGTAGAATCAGGCAGTTTGTCTTTATTTCTTGCACCTAGAATCGGGCGGTTGTAGAAGGCGGGACATAATTTAGCGGCTGGGAATGCTTTGTGCAACTCTTTTCATGCGTTGTGTGATGATCTCACTGGCAATATCACTCTTAAATTGCAGCTTCAAGAAGATTTGCTTCTTAGGAACTGTTGGCATTGTTTTTTAACCCTCGTAATATGCATGTGCTTAGTTACACACTTGTCTGGGTAGCCATTCCTACTAAGCAGATCACGTATGGTGGCGCACTTTTCCTGTATAGTATCCTCTTAGCAAATAGCTGATGCAAGGTATGCTAAGCATAGGTTCCTTTTGTGTTGGAGGGGTTCAGCACTAAAGAAGCGCGTATATTGACCTGTTGATGTTGGCTTTTTATAAACACTTCGCTTTAGGGTTCCATGTGACCTTCTTACCAACAGAACATCAAGAAATGGGATGCTATCATTTTTCTCCTCTTCCATTGTGAAGTTGATTGTCGAGTGAACACTACTGAACTTATTCAGAACAGCATTCTTATCAGTCTCACTTTTGAGAACTATAAAGGTATCATCCATGTAACGTCAATATAACTCTAAACGGCTTATAGTATCGTTCAGTGGACCATTCTCAAGTTTTGCCAGAAAAAAATCTGCTAAGAGTGGGCCAAGGGGTGGCCGCATAGCAACACCATCAGATTGCCGGTAGAGTTCATTGTTGAAAAGAAATTGTGCATTCATCGTACACCTCAGAAAGAGTTCTTTCAATGTGGGGACTGGAATACCTATTTACATGCCGTGCTTCGTGAGTTCGTTGGAAATAAAGTCTACTATCTCCATTAAAGGAACGTTAGTAAAAAGAGATGAAACGTCACATGAAATCATTAACTTATTATCTACTTCCAGATCCTCAATCCTTCTGACAAATTCAAAGGTATCTTTGAGACTGTACTTCACAACTTCTTTGTGGAGAGTACCACAAAGGTTGTACCAACCATTTTGCTGTTGCATGGTGCGGAGAGTTAGTCATGTCAAGAACTGGTCGTAGAGGCGGACCGTTTTTATGCAGTTTCGGTAGGCCGTAAAGTCTAGGTGTAAAGGGGTCCAGTAGGTTTCAGCATTTTGAAGGTGCACCTTTATGAAAACTTGTTGTTTTATCCTTTTCAGTGATTCAGTTAGATGTTTCTTGGTTTTCTCTGTTGTATCACCATAAGTGGCTAATTTCTGAAATATACTTTCATCAGTAAGTAAAGAATTCATTTTGTCTATGTACTCTTTTTATCCATTAAAACTATTCCTGACCCTTTATCTGGCTTGGCAATCACGATATTGGCATTAAAGTTAAGCTTTTCCAAGGCTTCTCTATGTTTTTTCGTTAAAATACTTTTCATACTGTTCCTACTACTCGTGTACTTTAGGCAAGAGTCAACGAGTGTAATCTTAAGTCTATCGACATCTTCACTAGATGATGGTATCAAACCTTCCGTTTGCGTATACATATTCTCAAACTGTATTTCCGTTTCCATCTTACTAATTCTATTAGGACTATCACAAAGGATTGGTCCAAGTGACAAAACTTCTAATTGTGTAGCATCCAGATCGATACTAGAAAAATTATGCACAAGCTGACCCGGATGAATCGGGAATCTCATCTCTGGTGTACGGTTTTCAAGAGTTTTGAGCAACTCAATGAGCTTCTTTTCTTTCCGTGCATTGACCACATTCATCACATAACTCAAAAATTCCTGCTTTAAACTTTCCGGAAGCTCTTCTACAGCATGAAATCTCTCTGTAACATTTTTCAGCATTTCAGTAGAATAAGATCTTAGAGAGTCAATCTGATTCAGGGTATGACGTTTCAGTGTTCTTACAATGGGTCTAAACCCTGGAGCGTCGTAAAGACTTCCAATATTCCTTAGGGTAGTGATTCGTTGAAATGCATTCGTCGATGAAATTTATATTAACCTTCGCTTCACAGAGCCTCGCGCTGTACTTCAGATACTCATTGAGAGTCTTTGACGCAATTCGGTGCTCAGAAGATTTCAATACATTGAATATTCCCATTTAGACACTTAGGAAAAGACTGACTGAGCGAAGAAATATGTTTCTTTTCAATTAGGTCTTCATCTTGGGCTCTACACTAATATATAGGTTTATGTTTAACGAAAAATATTGGGAAGTTATTTCTTCTTACTGCAGGTCAAATGAATTTCTGAGCAATCCATTTTATCAGACACTGATTGATGTGATGAGGAGCTTCAGAGCTAGTTCAAATCCTGCCACCAGTCCGGGATGTTCATCTCCAATCACCACTCTGCATCATAAATATTGTTTTAGTCTATAATAATTAAACATCTAATCACTAACTTCATGCCATACCAATTCACGAGTGGTACATTCTCAATAATTCGCAAACTTTTGTAAGGACCAAGAAAAATAACATTCATAAATTGATTTGTTTTGGGTGCTAATTGAAGATGAAAAAACCATGGTTGCATCAGGATTCTAGCCGTTGGTCTCTGAAGGGGATCCCCGGTTGTTGAAGTCAAGTTCGGACGTGGTCACCAGCTTGGTTTGGTGGCTCAGTTGGTATAGTACCTGGTCAGTAACCCAGATACCACTGATTTAAATTTTACCATGACCCAGGAGTTCATTTCACCTTCAATCACCAACCAGTATGAGTAACACCAACGTGATAAAATCATGGTCATTTAGGATAGTTTCATTAAAAAACTGACTTGTGTTAATAAAAAACGTTTACCTGAAAGGTTTGTTTATTGGCGACATCAGAAAGTTCATTTCCCTCAAGGAAAAATAAATGAGCTAATTCTTCTGTAACTGCATCGGTTTGTAAATCATAGGATGACTGGATATCATTACAGTCAACATTACAAAATTTCGATGATGATGATGCACTGACATCCTGCTTATGAGTTAACTTATTTGATTTAACTGAAAATGAATCATTTTTATCAGTTGAATCAAGCTCTTTCAATTGATCTTCGTTAATACTATTTGTATTGACCCATCGAAATACAAAACTTGAACCATTTCCATAGAATCGACCACCACTTGGATATGGATGTGTATTAAGCATTGCACCAAATATCTGGATAAAAACAAAAATCGATATATTTAGTTAAAAAGTAACAATGTGAACAAGGAATATTCCTTTTAATAAATTCTCATCAAGTTCAGCAATTATAAAATGCACTTGTACAGTGTAAGCTCAACCCGAGTTAAGGACAAATGCATTTTCAAAGTGGAGTGAGATATAACGACAATAAAGAAATCGATTTAGCTTTTCAAATTTGTCAGTATTAGAACAATACAAATGTACAGATAATAATTAATGTGATGGTAAACGAAAAGACAATGAATAAAGAAGACAGGAGTGACCTTTACTTTACTGAAGTCCAAGGAAGGAGTAAAATGAGAACTTTTTCTCTTTACTACAAAGTCCAGATTTGGTCAGTTTCCATGTGACAGCCTCAACCATGTTGAGCATGCGTTGGCAAGCTACAGAAGGCATTGTTTTAGTAATATGATATATGGCCCTGAACGCTTCATTAACATATAGTTGATATCCTGTGCCTAATCAGTGTACTAGAATGGTACTTTTCACCACTTTCACTTTGCCTTTTCTGAATCAAATCGTATTTGGAGACACACTTGCATACGTAACTTGTTTCACAGTAACACTTAAATTGATATATATAGAATGAAGAGCTAAGATTATTTAGGCTATAATATGTTCTGGGATTGAGCATTGGATGAATACTAAGCAAGATATTTGAATAACAATGTAACTATACTTCTTACTGAACGGAATCTATAACATTGGTCTCAAGAACCTATTAAGCTTACAGTGAATTGTTGATAATTCAGACTCAGGCGTTATTTTACGTGCGATATTAATGGTTGAACACAACCGTAAAAAGTAAGTATTTAGAACTCACTCAAATATACTTGCAAGTTTTGTTAGACAAGTTTATGATTCATGTTGAAGATGGTTGTTCCTTTTTGGATACTAGGCTCATCACCAGTTGGCATGAACACTGATTCAACTCAGTCAACCAATTGGTTTGAACTGTACAGCGACTGTTATGCATACTTACAAACTACTGGTGTATATCTTCGAATACTGCAGTCTTGACTCACAAAATGCTTTTCTTTCATAAACTGTTGTGAAAATACTAGGTAGCGGGTGAAAACCTAACTCAATTGCATTTATGCTTACAGCTAGCTAATTTTTGTCGAATATCTCCACATAAAAATTTGATTGAATGCAGATGGGACAAACAAAGAATTGTCGATCGTCATTCATATGAAAGCATCACTATCGACTTGAAATGATATAAAGCATTTTAAAGTTAGTCAGAATATATGGGGGAAAAATAAATGACTCCCCTTTTACTAGATTTTGTGTACATTTCCGAAGGATGAATCAAATTAATTTTATTTGCAAAATCACATTTTTCTATTCAATCAATAGTAGGTAACAGTTTTTTGTTTAGAGATAGTATTCATCATTTTTGTTTCTCTGTTTCTAAAGGTCAGTCACAGTAACCAAAAAAAACAACAAAGAAACTTGTAATTCATCCAAGAGAGATAGGCAAACACAATCTTCTTATCTATGCTTAATTTTTCTCGGTCAAAAATAAGCCTTTGCTTCTCCACCGTTTCATCATTCGAAGGGTTGTATTCAAGTTGAATGTTAAATTTCATACTTTTGTTAATTAACAGAGATCAGTTCCAATTTATTTTTTTTAATAGACGTATCACGTAGTGAAACAGCATTTGACAGATAACGTTTTGAATACTGTGTATTGTCCACAGTTATATCCTACATCGATATACAACAGTACAGAACACTCACACACCTTGTGAACATTCGTACAGCAGGCAATGAGCAATTGATACTACCTAGCTGCACAAACCTCAGTGGGTAGAGTTGGTTTCGAATGCTTGACTCACTAGCTAGAAATCAACTCCCTAAATCACTGAGCCACAGCTTCGTCCAGCCTGGATATGAGGAAACATATACCTTTCTCTCGCTGTGTTGTTCACATCCTAGTATGTGAACATGTCTTTAGTTATTGAGGTGAACTTGTTTGCTTCACCAACAAATGTCAACACTGACTAATTAACAGTCAAGTTCAAACACCTCTCAAGCCATATGTTGCTTCAGTTTTGACCACAACCGGAGATGTTTTTTAAGTTTACCATCTATCTGTATTTGTATTACATTTGTCGGGTAGTTATTTCTGAACACTCCTTACTCCTTTAATTTGAGACCAGCTAGCAATTGCAGAACAGATGAGTGACTATCTTCAAAGGGGCAAATAATGAAAAACAGAGTTTTATGAACACTTAGCTTATAGACTTGGGGAAGTTTCCGGTACATTCTGCAAATATGTACTATCAATGGATAACTGTAGATATTAGCCGGCAGTAGAATCTAGGACGCGTGTTTCAGTCTAGTTGAGAATCGTCAACTGGATGTACCTGCCTCCCAGCGAACACCGTTGTCCCCACGAAGGCTGGAACCATGGGCTGACCATTCTAAAAGCCAGAGCGTTATCCATTAGGACACTGAGTCATGATAGCCACTTCTTGTGAGATATCGCTCACTGAGAGGCTGGAACATCCAACTAACGAGTGCCACACGGGACGAAACGCGCGTCTTGAATTTGACGGCTAGTCACTATATATCACTACTGTAAAATTGAAACGGCAAGCAATATCAAGACTACTGTACAGGAGCCCATATGTCAATGTAAACTGACCAATTCGGTTCAATCACCAATGGGATAATACAAAATACTAATCGACAGTTTGAAAGGAATCTTCATGAATGCCTGGGACGACGCTGGGCACAGTGAACTGGTGTAAAAGTCTGCGCTGGTATACTGATATTCTATACCTCATATCAACTTAGTTAAAATGGTTTTCGAATTATAATAGCTATCAGAGGTCTCCCAATTCGTTCACGCAGCAACCAATGAAAGGAGGTGTTGTTTTAGCATTATAATTGAAGTCACCAAAGGATATCCTTAGGAAAGGTATTCAGCAGCTTACAGACTCAAGCTAATGCGTTTTACCTTGCAATTACTAAAATACCATATCGTATGTTATTCGTATAAAGTATTATATATATATATATATATATATATATATATATATATATATATAACACCTTTTTATATGCTATGGATTACGACTGACTAAATTGATGTATGCCTATCGACCAAGTTCTTATTGTCACCGCTTTAGTGTCATTAATAGGTCAGATAGATGAAATCAACAGCACCGTAATGATGGTTTTTGTTTATTCTTTGAACGCTATGTCCACTGACAAATTAGATACCGTTATGTTTCGCATGGTTGGGCTTGTTCACGCTCTTCATTTGGTATTCGGTCAGTAAATTCACAAGTTTAACATTTCTACTCCAGTTTCCAAAACACATAAACATGCTATGCAATGGTCGATGATGCTACTCTGAGTCTTCATTGTAACTAGAGGGAACTCTTCAGACAGCACAATTACCCAGAAATTGAAATAATGAGTAGAAATCAAATCGAGATCGGAGAAAATGTATAAGGAATCGTAACAGTGTTTTTCAAAAACGATTAGACAAGGACACACCTCACTGACTAGTCCAAATGCTACAAGTCCCGAAAAAGTAGCATTGTTTAAGGACATTTTCACAGCTGGGTAACAAGTTGAGCATTAAGTACAGTTTATATCTCGTATGTGAACTAAAAGTGAATCATGTTCTCAATGAGATCTTTTCTCATTTATTTCTTTATGTAATGTATAATTTTACTGAGGCGGAAATTCAAAAAAATTAACTGCAGGCGATTTATCAACTAGTAAGCATAATATTGCCGCAGGTAACGAAGGAAATTAGAAAGTTAAAGGGATTTCGGTTTATTTCTAGGCAATTTTTTTGAGCAAGTGCATAGAAATGTGGGTAGGGCGGCTGAAAACATTTTGACACACAGTTTTTCGATTTATTCTTCTTTGTCTTCCCTCCGTGTGTGTGTTTAAAGGAAAAGAGACAGTCGTCAGTTTCAGTTTGTTACAGACAAATTTTATTCGTCATAATTTGATTAAATTAACATCTTCCTCCATAAATATGATTATTTATTATGATTGTTAAACTGCTCCCAAAGGACTTAGATTATAATCTTATTCTCATTTCGATTCTTCAGTTTTCTCCCTATTCATTCATAATACACCTATGTTTTACATACTTCCTCGTTTGCAAATTTTACAGCTGCCTATTTTTAATCCAATGGGGCTGCCAAGTTCGAAATGCACAGCAATGATCGGAAGTTACCGAACACATTTACAATATAACCACTAAACTGAATGGTGTGACGGTTTGATCCAAACAGACAAAAATCAACGTAGAACCTCGCACAGAATTGCATTATTCAAGTTGCCACATTTAACGGCAGCATACAAAGAACAAGTGGATAGAAAAAGACTGATATTAAAGGAGACAAAGTTATGTTGGAGAATAAACAATCTGAAGATAAAGGTTAGTGGGAATATTCAGGCTTTACAAGACATCTAAGAGTGAATACACCTGAGCTTTTGTGATTGATTTTCAGCTTTGTCACGAACAGTACGCAACCACTGATTCTCATCGTCTCGGGGACCCCAGTCAGACAGTTTGCATCTCCCCACACGGCCCAGATCAACAGCTAAGGACTTCATGAACTGGTGTCACATCTTGATTTAACCACCATGAACACTCTCCCAACTTATTCCAACTTCCTCTACCATGGCACGTCGAGGTAGGTGGTGACGGCATGCCTAATACATGTCTAAGCCATTTCAGCCGATGAAGTTTCATAACCTCATTGAGTGACTTGTCTTCCTTGACTAGTGTGCTTCGCTTAACCTCAACATTGCTAACATGGTGATTCAAGCACACGCAAGCAATTCTACGAAGGCAACAATGATCAAAACCCTGTAACCATATTACAATTACCTTTTTTTTCAATGATGATTTTCGTCATTTTATTATTGCATCAATATTGGAAGTCAAACTTTTGCGAAACCATCTTGTTCTACTCTCGAACTATCAAAAGATCTATCCTGAATATATCGCTTCGAATTATCATTTCTGAAGTTGTTTCAGTCATTAAATCATGTCCCCGAACTAAGCTACTTACTCTCGCGTAGTATTAAAATGTCTTTCGTAATTTCACAATTTATTAAGAGAAAAAACTATAATGAATGATAGTGGGCTCTTGAAAGCTCAATTATTCGTGAAATGGTTAGCATGAATTAAAGATTGTTGTATTAGTTGTGTTAGAGCACTTCTCCATTGCCAGACGCATGGAGATTTTTTACATACCACACATCCTCGCAACAACATATCTACATAATGAACAGAAAAACCTAAAACATAGCTGATCGTTGAATACTGTTGCTCATAAAATTATTATTATTAACAGTAATTAGATGCCAAAATTATTTAAGTTGAAAATATCGTGCGCGGAGTAAATTTGCACAAATATTAAACTCTGGAAATTCCAAACCTCATTAAAACTGTTATCTGGAATCAAGCTATTATTATCATTATTGTTATTGCAGTCAACATAAAAATGTAACTTGTGCAAGGCATCTTGCTAAGAGCTAACTGGAGTCTGTTTACTAAGATTACAAGAATAGAACAGATTTTATCCCATAGAAACAAATACTGAAAAATATCATCCATCTGTTCATGAGACAAAGTGTCAACAATTGTGTATAAGTGTAACCGTCATTAAAAACTTGTCAATGATCATAATGAAGAAAGTTTTTTAAGAAATATCACAAAATTTATGGTAAAATCTTCATCAAAAAAGCAATATGTGTGCATGAAACTCACTTCGTTTACTGAAGTCCGTATAATTATTATACATGGTTGATTTGATGCATGAGGTGAGTTCAGTATACGTGCATGTTTCATTCTAGAATGTATTGAATTATGAACGTCATCCATTGAAGCTTCTGTCAAACTGTTTGCGCATCGACGATATAATGATCTTAAACTGAATCCATGCAGAGAAGTACTATAGGTTAATACCCAATCCAAGCCTTCCGCATCAGGTGTTAGATTTTGCAAAAGCTAATGAATTAGGAGATACAATTCACCAATACTTCATGAATATACATTAAGAGCATGCTTTCAACTCGTTTGACAGCAGATTAAAATAGGGAAACCATCAAATGAATCATCAAATATGCACATATAGCTAACAAAGTAGTTTACAATAAATTATTAATATATAACCAGGCTGCTTGTAAATTACTGTTTTCTTTGAACCAAATATTTTAATACCCAACATAACTATCTTAATATAACTTATAACCCTCTTTAGCCTTACACAAACGGAACTAATTACTGGCTGTTGGTATATGGCCTTCATGGACGGATGCACCGTCATTGCCAGTGGCTTTATTTTCATAGCAAGGATGCATCGCAACTAGCGGTAAAATCCAGTAGTGCTGTTTCTACTGAGACTCAAGTGCAGAAACCTTGTCTTTAAACACCAAATCATTATGATAGCTAATCTACCTGTATATTAAAATGAGGAACTGTTCGATCATTTTTGTTAAGTACCACCTTTCACTGTAAGGATCACTCATTAAAAGTATCCTTCGTGATATGATGGTTAAAAAAGACATGTTGACGATTTACTTATCTACATCTAGATGCAGCCTCATGAAAACAATAACTTCACTATTGCGTACAAAACGTTTGACACAGGCTAAGAAATTCGATTTGCCTTTAGTTTAGTTCTTACCAAACTTATTTATTTAACGTATGTCATATAATGTTGTTTGAGGTTGATGGAGATTTTATTTTTAAGGTAGTATTCATTTTTATCTGATATCATTTGGAGAACCACTGAAAACCTGCGAGCACTGAATAACTGTTTCTACCTAGCGTGGGACTCCTCATTATTACCTACTCATGACACCGCCTCGTCAGAGATCCAACCCAGGATCTTCAGATTTTACTGAGAACGCGTTAACCATTCAGCCATCTGGTTGAAGTCCAATGATTCCCAATTTCCTACTTTTGTCGAGTCACAACATAGCGTGGTTATCCACCAAGTTCATTAGTTGGAAACCACTTCACCTTTGATTGGCTGACCCCACTAGTTATGGCTTCACATCAGAAATTTGGAATATTTATCTGGAGGCATGTCACTAATAAGCACTACACAGCAGTGCCCTTTATTGGAATTTTATTTTTAAGGCCGTGCTCATCATGGACTGATACATTTTCTGAAGGTTGTGAAGTCAATCCCTGGAGCAGTCGTAGGTGCCTACTGGTGAGGAGTCCCATATTAAGACTAATCAGTCGTCCAGAGCTTCCTGGTTTTCAGTGGCTCTCCAACTTTGTCATTTAAGTTTGTTTTCAGTGACTACTTTCTCTATTTTTGGATAAGTATCTAGCAGTTGACTACACTTAAGGTGATTGAATTGATAATCGTATGGTTCCCCGCTAGAAGGCTGACAAAATGACAGTCAGAGTAGATGTAGGTTTTGAAACTACACGTTTGTGTACAAATGCAACATTTCAAGGGCTAACTTTTGCAGGTTCACTGAGTAACTGAAGTAATTTGAGTGTTTAATAATAGAAATTTTAATTATCTTTTAGCCTTCATAAAACCATTCTGGAATGTGCTCTCCTAAATACTAATTAGATCAGCTGTGTTGTATGCGATAAAACAATTCCTAAATCAATAAAGTCGTTATTCGCCTTACTAATATTCACTGAGTTTGTTATATTGGCTTTTAACACATGGAACCTTGAATACCCATATCTGCCTCTTTTGAGAAGCCGTGAGTAGAATGATAACTAAAAAGTTATCACGACGTATCACTCAAATCCTTCGAAAGCATATGATTTATCGTTCAGAGTGCTTACATCTTAAGTTTAACATATTATGTTATAAAATATGATAATCAAGATTTTTTTGAGAATTGAAGCTTTGGTTTAAAAAAACACTAGTTTAGAAGTCTTTTGAGATTGCTAAAAGAACATTTGTACTTTTGTCATCTTATTGACTGACCTCTGCTCAATTACGCTTTTATTTAGAAGAGTTTATTCAGTTTGTTCGATGTTAACTGGAGCGAAATTATTTGATAAAGGTAATTTTATAACAACAGTTAATTACCTTGTATGATTTATAACCATTTAGATCTAATATGACAAAAGCAAACTCTCTGATACATAATTTTAGCACTTTTACAAATCTCCTCCTCTTTAATTCAGTTGGATTCTGATCGGGATGAAGAGATCTAACTAGATGACCAGTGTGATTACGATGGGGAGACAGAAACGTATCATACATTCACATGGGAGTTAGCCAAAACCCTCAGGAAGTGAAGCTAAGGTAGGACTTGGTCACCAATTGGGTTTTTTGACTTAGTCAGTAATGTCAAGCCAGTAACCCAGATAGCTCAGATTTGAACCCTGCAATGAGCAAGATCTATATTTTACCTTCAATCATCATCCAAGATCAATAACACTAGTCTGCCAGACCACAGCTATCTCTGATGGCCTCATTGATAATTTATTACTTCACCACTGGTAATTATGATTGGTTAAAGTAATTGTTGACGTATTATACTTGGCTCCATTGTAATCCTGCAAACAAATTTCCTAGTAACCTTGTATTAATCATTATCACTATACTGAAAACTTTTGATGACGACGTTGTATTGATTCACTAGCTATTGATGGACATGTATTTACTGTAACTATGATTACGATTATCAAAATTTTGAAGACGATTTGTCAACAAGAAAATTAACCACGCTGAATTGTCTTTTTTTAATTCCAGAGGCAACGATTTTCATCAGTTAAAAGGTTTTGTGAAGCTCATGTATTTTATGCACAATATAACCAATAATTACCACGAGTAAGAACACGGGTTTTCACACTTTTCCGATAAGTTTTGCACTTCATTTTTCCATCTTTACCGTTCAAACACCGGATGCTGTTACTATTCACAGACAATTACAATACAGTATGAAGGTGGAGGAACTGATTAATTAAACTTTATTATTGTTCCAAAACACTCACAGTAATTATTCTAATTTGCTTCTTATCTCCTAGATAAAAACTCATGTCAAGTGTTGTAATAGGAAGCAAAATTATTAGACTCATCTATTACTTCATTTACATGGAAAGTCACCTCACGCTTATTGCCTTATTTGGCGTCAAAGTAATGACTATCATACAGAATTTCTTTTCCCTTCATCAGTAGTACGGTAAGGGAGTAGTTGGATATGCTTAGGTAGGTAGCTGTTGAATGTAGAGTGAGTGCAAATTTTATCGGTAGTTCATAGTGTAACTCATGTGTGACGTAAAAGCTGTTTGGATAAGAGCTAAATTAGTTAATCCGATCCTGGACCATCATACGTTTAGGTGGTTATGAAGTGTGCTATTCATGCCTATCTATCATTAGTTATCTGAATGCATACCAAGATGGTGGAAAGATGAGAAAGATCTTGAACACTCCACAAATCCTCCTACAGTTAGTTTGAGTGGTACTGCGATGTGTAGAGTTGACATTTGTGAAACTGACGCAATCGATAGTTAAAGAAAGTATTCATCAACTTTACAAGGCTCTGGGTTTTTCATTGTTATTTGTTTTCTGGTGTTTGAAGGCTTCATTTTTTCACAAACTTAAAATATCACTGTACCAAACGAATCAAACATTCTAAGTCAAATCCCTCGTTAGATGTTCATTGCTTCCTCTTTGGTTCACAACGAGAAATTCGCCTGACAAAGTCTTATGCACAGCCCCAATTTTAGGCTTCTTGAGATATTAGTAAAGGTGAAAATGATATTTAAACTGGAATAACTTATAGAAGACTTTAAGTGTGCCAAATCCCTCCCCAGAAAATGTGTTTACGAAAAAACTTTATCAAAACTATGTCCACTTACATCCCGAACGTTTTGAGCGTCAAATATTTCACTGTTTGATGTAGCCGGAGGCAACGGTAATGATTCAGGTTCTGCAAGTTTGATACACTCAGACATAAAATTTCGTTGTTCTTCCTCTTGTTCCTTTAATTCCAGTTCTTTTGAACTAACCAACTTGAATGTGAATAAATTCAAACAATAAATAAAGGATATAACTACATTCTCATCACTATCAGAAAGCTTACGAATACGATAAACTTTTATTGAGTTATTATATGTAGAAAGGCACTAAATATTTAATCTTAGAATAGAAAATGCATTCTTTTTAATGTACCAGAAGTCACTGATATGAACGCAGCCAATTCGCAGCTTTTCTTTCAAATTCAACCATCAGTGTCAAAATCACTCATCAACCAATTGGTCACGAGCATTTTAGAAAACCTACTTCATTATGAGATCAATCATTTGACTTTCATCAAGGTGGAGTAGGGAGAGTAAAGTGACTCAGATAGTACTGAAGTTAGTGAACTGTAACATAGCGACAAATTTCATGTCGTGCCAATAATTATCATATTGAGTGGCATTGTAATAAGAACATGAGCATAATTAAATGAAGATAAACATCATTCTAACAAATCTCGCCTGGTGAACAGGTCCACTAGTTACTAGACGGTCTTAAGCCCAAAAAAAGGGAAGGTTGGGCATAGGGCTCACAACCCTACCCCAGAAAACCAATCCAATCAATGAAGAAACTTCAAAGCACAGAAAAAACATAAAAAATAAAAATAAACTTATTCCTTGCTGGGATCGCGAGACTAAATGACGCCAGCTGGTATAAATCTTCGGGAAGCCAGTTGGCCGATGTGTCTTCTCTCTCTCTCTCTCATTGAAAGCGAAAGTAAGAACGGGGACATGGAATGTTTGAACCTACCAAGGTTGTCCAGATTGCAAAAGAGATAAGAAGGTATAGCATAGAAGTGCTTGGAATCTACGAAAGCAAATGGAATGGAAGTGGACTCTCCAAACTGGCAACTAAAGAGTCAATAATCTACTCCGATACTGTTATCCAGACGAAAACCACGAGCACACTGAGTTTTCGAGTGGCCATCATGATAACTCCAACAGCATCAAAGCACCTCATGCAGTGGGAACCAATCTCCTCCAGGATCATAACAGCAAGGTTCAACTCAAAAGGAAGCAAAGTCATAATCCTTCAATGCTACACAGCGCACCTACAAATAATGCAGATGAAGAGAAGAAGGAAGAATTCTACAGACAACTACAATCAGTAATGGACAAGAATCTAGTTGGTGACAACAGAATTCTAATGGGTGAGGTGACATGAATGTCAAACTGGAAGCGGACAACACAGGAAGAGAACTCATCATGGGTCTGGAAGCATTTGGTGAAATGAATGAGAACGGAGAACTGTTTGGCGACTTCTGCACATGCAACGATTTGGTGACTTGAGGTAGTGTGTACAAACAAAAAGATATTCACAAATCAACATGAATCTCACCAGATGGACACACTGAAAATCAGATCGACTTTATCTCAATCTCAAGAAAGTGGAGACGCAGCCCGGCTACTGGACGCAAGATCAAGAAGAGAAGCAGATATAAGTTTTCACCACTCACTATCTAGTGCAAGGAACCCGCCTTCAAAATCAAGTTGAAAGCTTTCACAGCAGTTGGCGATAGACAGCAGTTCAATACCCAGAAAAGAAACTGAAGAATGAAATTAAGAAGGACATCTTCACGTCAATCATTACGCAAAAGTGGAAACATTGAGCAACATCCGTGAAGAAACCTGCGTGGAAGAACACTGGAACTCTTTAAAAGAGGTGTGGAAGGAAACCTAAATAAATATTTTACGAAGGAAGATGAAGCAAGACAAAGAATGAATCTCGACGGACACACGGAAGCTGATACAGCATAGAGAGGAAGATGGTGATGGTGAAGTAGAAGATGAAAACGTCCAGTGCAGTGCAGGGATGAACAGCGAAAAGAGGAACTGAGCACAACGTATAAAACATTGGACAAAGAAGTGAAGAAGAGTGCGCAGAAAGACAGAAGATACGTCTACGACACACTGTCAATTGGAGCAGAACAGGCTTCAGGTAGGGGAGAGAAAGACCTGACAACATCATATCAAACAAACAGGTTACTATCTGGGAGGGTAGAGACCAACAAAGATGAAACCAATGAAAGATAGTGAAGGAAACCTAGTTATCAAAGAGGAGGAACAAAGGAAACAGTGGGCTGATCACTTCATAAGACTCTCGAATCGACCACCATCTGTAAGTCGTCCAGAAATACCACCAGCAGTCCAGCCAAAGAACTATCAGTGAACACAAGCCTATTGACAAAATCAGGAGTGAAGTCCTGGACGCCATAAAACTGCTGAAATCCGGGAAAGCAGCAGGACCAGATGGAATTCTTCCAGAAGCACTGGAAACAGATGCAGAGCCAACAGTGGACGTGCTCATACCATTATTCCTGGAGATTAGGAAGGAAGGAAGGAAGGAAGCAAAGGTACCTGCCGATTAAAGAAAGAATGGCTACCTTGTCAGACTCCCAAAGAAGGGCGACCTATGTCTTTGATAGCAATGGCGCAGTATCATGCTCCAGTTCCTGACCACCCCAAGCAAAATATTAAGCCGCATCATCCTGGAGAGACCGAAGGATGTTCTGGATTCAAAATTACGACCGGAACAGGCTGGCTGGATTCAGTAAGAACAAATCACGTGTGGATCAAATTGCAACGCTACGCATCATCATTGAACAGAACGTAGAATGGCAGTCAACTCTGTACATCAACTTCATCGGTCTTGAAAAGGCCTTCGACAGCGTCGACCGAGAAGTAATTTGGCAGACAGCTGCTTCAACACTACGAAATACCATAAACCTTTATCAACCTCATTCAACAGCTATGTGCTATATGATGCTACATGCTGAGTGATTTACAATGAAAAGGTCGGTGACGCCTTCAAAGTGGCGACAGGAGTAAGACAAGGCCGTCTACTATCACCAATCATCTTCCTAATTCTGGTCGACTGGATTGGACTGGATCATGCAACAAACCATGAGGAGCAAGAAAATGGGCATACGCTGGCTGGACCAATGAAGACAGCCTAGAAGATTTAGCTTTCACCAACGATGATCATTTATGTTTTATGTCTTGTCGCACTAACTCGAAGATCTACAGGCGAAAATCAACAAGTTGACAAAAGAGGCAGGGAAGAAAAGACGGCACTTCAAGTGAATGTAGAGAAGACAAAGATGATGAAGATACCCAACTAACAACATCAACAACAACCACCAATAACCATCAACAGGAGAAACCTAATGGAAGTAATCCATTTCAACTACCTACCTAGGCAGCATCGTCTCAACTACAGGCAGCAGCACAGACAACGATGTCAAAACCAGGATCGGAAAGACAGAAGGACAGGTCTCCATTAATCTGAAATCAGTGAGGAGATCTGCTGCACTCAGCGCAAAGAACAAAATCTAGATTTTCAATACCCATGTCAAGTCAGTGCTGACATGTGGTTAATAAACTTGGCGCGTCATGAAAAGCACTTCCAACAAACTACAGACATTCATCAATAGCTGCCGCCTACGCTCACTCAATATTAAAGATCAGATGGATTGACAGAAAGAATAAGTAACAAGGAACTCTGGCTGGAAACTAACCAACAAAGCAAGAAACTATCACCCAACAAATATGCAGAAGAAAGTGGAGATGGATTAAGCAAACACTGGGAAAACCATTCGGAGACATCACGCGCCAGGCCGTCGAGTGGAATTCAAAGGGGAAACGATGAGTTGGGCGTCCGAGGTGAGGATGACATGGAGGAGATCGTGTGAGGAATAAATGAAAGTTTGTAGGCAGTCGTGGAGGGAGGTTGGAAAGACTGCAGAGAAGAGAGCGGAATGGAGGTGTGCTACTGAAGCCTTATGTTCCACTAGGAAAATAATAATAAGAAAATAATAGTAATAATAATAATAATAATAGCATTCCAACATATTCGGTTGAAAGACGCTGCGTAAACTGTATTAATCACTTATTGTTTTCTTCAGTTTAGAGAATACTTCATGCTCAGCATAAAAATAAAATGTATAAAATCGTTTATGGTAAAGGTCGTTTTGTTATCTATTTCTTTTTAGATTTTCAAAAAATCTGGTTCAATTCATATATATATATATCATGGATGAACGAGATTTAAAGGGTCGTGTGCATGTAAGAGATTTTGATAGCTATAGAATAATGAGTAGACTGCAGTGAAAGGAGTAGAAAATGCGGTCAATTTTACCAAACTAATCATAATTGTTTTGAGGTCATCTTCACTACATATCAACATTAGCTGGAGAACCTATCATAAAACTGAAAATACCGGACAGTTACTATAGTGTAACTTTCAGGTTTTTTTAAATTTTCCTCTAGTTGAAGGTAATCCATTTATGATAACCACCTTGAGACCAAACAATTATGCTAAAAGCAACTTGTGAATAAACCACCTGGTGGTGATTAGCCTCCAGACGATTAGTCGGCTTCAAATGGAAAGCTATGAGCTGTGAAGTCAACCGGGTTGGATATGTAGACAGACATTTTCCAATGACATTAGGTGAGGATAATACCATGTTTCAAGCTGACAAGAACAGAAAAATGTGTACTGTTAGATTTTCAACCAAGTGGTTGAGTGGTGATAAGCCTACTGTGAGACCTAACAATCCCATGCTTTATCCTTTAGGGAGTTTTGAATGTGCACTAGTGACAAGCCCTGGGCTAATACGAAATAACTACCCAGCGCTCCCAGCTTTCTATTGATTCTTCAGGGTTTATTGATTTATGGTAAGAACAACTTTGAGGCCAATCAGTCTAATCTAAAACAGCCAGTTGAATACATCATGCTTTATGTATTAACTCAAGTGTTAGATATGTAAACGGAGTACCCCAGGGGATAAAATTCTCAACACTGGTGATAAATTTATAACTAACTACTTTTTAGGTTGTTATGTTTGCCAAAACTAACAGAAACCTTCCAATATTAATTCAGTAAGTTGTAATTGGTAGGTAATTACAAGTTTTCCTACTTGCATGTGATGCAAACATGGCATGCGGGTATAGCGGCTATACAGAGTTACCTACGTGCAGCTGGTCAGAACTAA